GGGGCCGGCCGTGCAACCCTCCTCCTGCGGTTTGAAGCCCAGGCCAAGAATTTCCTTGCAAGAATGTAGGCGGCAGCCAAGGGAAGTGGGGGGCAAGCCAGAGGCGAGGGGGACACCTTGCCAGCCTGCCGGTGTGCCTGGCTGCCCTCCTGCCTTCCAGCCTCTCTGCCCCAGTCCCTTTCTGTTTGCCACATGATTTCCCCCCCCCTTCTCTTGCCCTCTTTGCTGGATATTTCGGGCTGACCAGCAAAAGAAGCAATCACCCTTTTTCGGGGCAGGGGAAACTGAGGCACATGCAGAACTGCCACCACCTCTTTGCAGGCACGGATGAACACAAAGCAAAACCCCGTCGCAAGAGCATCCCGGGGCAGGAGCGCTGCAGTTTGCAATTGCTCCTGGGCTGCTTCGGTGGGAGCCGGCTCCCTTCACGCTGCGCCTTTCATACCGAAGCCCTTGATAATCAGCGGTCACCGTGCCAGCGGCAGGGCTGAAACGCGGCAGCTGTTTAACATTATGGGGTGACGCGAGGAAGCGAGTGCATCGGCCAGGGGAATATTTAGGGAGGCTGCCCGGTCCTCTGACCCCTTGCACCAAAGCGGATGCAGGCTCGGGGTCACGGCTGGGGGACAAATCCCAGAGGAAAAGCACCAGCAATGCTGGCGGATGGCAGCATCAGCGCAGGTCCCCCTTTGCTTTGCAAAGATCCCCTTTAATCCCACCCTGGTTGCCTTTGGGATGGGCTCAGGAGGGGCCGGCTCCTTTTGTCAAGGGATTAAGCAAACTCACCCGCTCGAGCTGCAAAATATCCTTAAGCGAGCCTGGGAGCCGGACACGAGGGGACCTGAGGCTCCAGGGTGGCTTTGGCTTTACCTCCAAGGTCACTTTGACGGTCGATCCGGGTGTGGGACAGCCGGCAGTGGGACCCCAGCAGCGCCCCGTGCCGCCCACTCCAGCACCCACCTGGTCTTAGAAGGAAAGGATTGCAACAGCACTCCTAAAACCCCGTAAATCTGCCTGGAAAAACCACAGAAGTCAGGCGAGGAATCCCAGCTTAATCAGACTGACCTGATTTTGCCGTGGTCCCCAGTGTTACCAGCTCTTGGAGTCACTGACTCCTTGCTTGCAAGAGCAAGGGGGGAAGAAAAGGGGATCGTAGCCATCATGTTTGCAGAGGAAAGCTTGGAAACGTGTCTGATCTGTGCCCAAGAGACTGGAGAAATCCCACCACAGGAATCCGATTCTGCTGCCAACTGGCTGGGGATGCTGCGGCCGGTTTTTGTAACCGCCTGGTGCTTTAGGTGTCTCGGCAAACATCCCCTGAGACTTGCAGAGCATCTCTGCAAGTGCAGCCTGCGCTGCAGGTGCTCAGCCCGAATGCCCTTTTCCTGCACGTCAGAAGGATTAGCCCCTACACTGTCTCCTGCCTCAGTTTCCCATACTCAAAACCACCACTTAATTCTGTTAGTGATGCTCGCCATCCTTTTTTTAAAAGCGTTTTGGGTCCTCTGCAGGAAAAACAAAAGATAACTTGTGTGTCCAGCCTGGAGCCTCACACCCATCCCTATATAAGGGGGGGGGTGTCTTCCTAATCACTGCAGGCAGGTCGCATCCTGCCAAGTCCTCCAGGACCTGCCGGCTGCTCACAGGTGGTTTTGCTCAGCACCGTCCTGCTGCTAACACTCCCCAAATACCCCATCCCCTGCAATCATCTAGCCAGAAGAATGATTAAAGCCCCAAATTTCAGGTCTGGTTCTGCTCTCACTTCATCATTTCCTCCTGGTTTACGTGAGTGTTGATGGAGGCGGAATTAAACTCTTGTTATCTAAATTAGATTAACAGCTGAGCTATAATGGCTCAGATTGATTAGAAATAAATCATTAATAGCATTCTCCTAACAGCATGACATTGATTATAACTTGCAACACTTG